GAGTCTAGTAGAGGAAGGAGAAAGGGGGAGGATGGGAGGGAAAAGAGGGAGGGGAAAGGGGGGATCTTGAACTGAAATGGACTTCCATATATATATGAGTTTGTCAGGATGAACCCACTACTACATATAACCATGAAGCTCTATTAAAAAAGAAAATTTGTAAAAGGAAAGAACCCTAATCCTGAAGTGACTCAGCAGAAAACAACCTCTAATGTAAACACTCTGATAGGAAAAACAAGGAGAGGCATGTGTGATTAAAAGACCTGACAAGAACGACTTTAGAAGAGGAAAGGTTTATTTGAGGGCTCACAGTTTCAGAGATCTTAGTCCACGGAAGGCTGGCCCCAGTCCTGGGGCTCAAGGTGAAACAGGACAACATGGCGGTAGACTGTGGTGGAGGGAAGCAACTCATATGATGATCAGGAAGCAGAGAGAGACTCCACTTTCCAGATACAAATTATAAACCCCAAAGACGCACCCCCAGGACCACCTCCTCCAGCCTCACCCCACCTGCCTTTAATTACCACTCAGTTAATCCCTATCAGGGGAGTAATTCACCGATTGGGTTAAGGCTCTTGTAACCCAATCATTTCCCCTCTAAACCTCTGGCATTGCCTCTCACGTGAACACTTGGGAGACACCGCACATCCAAACCAGAACAGTGTGCATCAGAAATCTTACAATTCCCCTACATCATAAGAAGCCAATGCTAGATTTCAAAATCGATTATCAAGTATTAGCAGCGTAAGTCCATTATTCAGATGTATAAGCATGAGAAGAAATTGAAATTGGTCATCAATTCCAAGATGTAGAAACGGTGGATGGAAAGAGAACAATGGGCCGCCACATTTCATCAAAAGCTTATTAGTACTCTAGCTTTCCAAAGCTATGTATGACATCACTGCAATGATGTTTTTATTTTAATTGTATTGCAGGAAAATTTCACCAGGGGTTTGAGCAGCATTCTCCCAAGCTCCTTCCCTTCCCTGGCTCCCAGTTTGACTAGCTTCCCCAGTTTGACTAGCTTCTTGGAAGTCCCTCCCCTGTCTCCTCACATCTCTGGACAAGTACTGCCCTTGGAGTCCTACCTCATGGGATTATTTTTGTGATATTGCAAATACCACCTCAACTGTATTTTCTTTTCTGCATCCATATGCGTTTAAACTACCACGAACCACGAGGAAAAGCTGTGAGTCGAGAGCGTGTAAACTCTCAGGTGACTGTGACAAGAAAGGCACACCATGGGGACTGAGGGCACCTTTTCTGTCCCAGAGGCTCTAAGTGTAGGTGGTTCCACATTTACAATCTGTCTTTTCAGGGAAGAATTTTTGTTGTTGTTTGATTGTTTTTTCCCCCCCTTTGAACTAGCTCAGGCTTGTGGAAGCTCCTAGACCCACTAGGAAACGAACTTACCGTCTGTTTTGCAGAGGTGCTGGGAAGGCCATTAGTTGCGAACGCTCTGGCTGCCCAATTCCCAAAGATTTCTCATTTGAGAAACATTCAACATTTTGAAACAGACTTCTCAGAGAACAGCACGGCAGCCTCTCTGGCAGCTCTCATGGTATTCCTCGGTGGATATTTTTGTCCCTTCATCTAAAAACAACAGCAGAGAGGGAGGAGGAGAACACATGCCCTCCTCGCGGGGCCAGAACTCTGCTTTTAAAATTGCCAAGAGATGGAGCCACAGCTGGTGCCCGTTGGGAGATGACATCAACTCATGCCATCTGCCCGTGACCATCCAGTGATGAGGGACCAAGGGCAATCATCCTCTCCAATGGTGAAACCAAGTATTGCTGGAAATCACTTCCTTCTTTTTCCCTTTCAAGAGAGATGACTTTGGGAGTGTCCCCAATCCTGCGCTACAACCAAGACACCAAGAAAAAGTGCATGGCAATGGCATCTTGGATATATGTAATTCCACTGAAGGCTCATGGGACAAGGACAGCTAGAGTGTCCCCTGCCCAGGTGAAGCATGGCTAATGAAAATGGTGCTAGGAAGGACATCAGGGCACCTGGTTTGTGGTTCTTCCCTGCACTTACTTACCACATAACCAAAGGTGGAGGCGGACATGTCTCTATGGGCCCTATATCCTGAGCTGAGCATCAGGGACAATGATGATTGTCCCACCCTCCTTTTGATGATTAACAGGTGCATAAGGGGACATGAGAAAGAGCTCCGGGTAGAGCACCAGGTCTTATGCAAATGAGATCATTCAGATTTTTTAAAAATACTTTTTAGTTGTCAATAGATCTTTTATTTATTTATATGCAATGCTTAGGATTGAACCCAGGGTCTCACACATGCCAGGTAAGCACCCTGCCACTGAGTCACAACTCCAGCTCCCTCACTCAGATTTTTTTACTAAAATTTTTTTAGATTAATGAAGATTTATCTCCAAGAGCAAAAACAGACCTCCGGCTATCATGAACTGGATTATCATGAAAAGAGGGTCAACTGATGTGCAGATGCCTCTACAACTCACAGCCTGCCTTCCCCCCTGCCCGGGATTCCTATTTCCTGTCCCTTGGCGAAACTAACCACCCTCTGTACCTCCTAGTTCACCACCTATTTTTTCCTTTATTGTAACCTCCAAAGAGTCAGCCACCATAAAGTCCAGAAGCTGTGAATCCAGGTGACAGAGGGCCCGGGGAAGTATCAGAATGAGTGAACCAGCCTAGGTGTGGGTGAACGCAGCCACCCAGAGATGGCCTGCATCTCAAGTTCTACTCAGCTCCTGAAGTTGCTGTCACTCAAGAGTTTAAGACAGAAATCTGGTATCTTATTTTTCTTAAATATTTGAATCTTAAAAGAAATTAACCAATGATTTTAAAATGTTTGAAACAGCCCAGGATTTAACCATAAACAACTGTGTATGAGCTGAGGGTTTGCAACCTCTGACGTGGGTTAACTCCTTTATTTCTATGGGTAAAAATCTTTAAGCTCCAGCTATATCCTATATCCAGCATAGGATATAGTTCAGACTACAGACTTAAAGAAGACTAGACTCACACCTTTTGTCTGTACCTAGTTTCCTATATGACCTTGGTGGATTTTTTACTTTTTCTGAACCAGTTTCCACAGCTGTGAAAGGGGGCAATTATATATCCTCCATAAAATTTTTGGAGAAATTAAGAACACAGATAATATACAAAGACCCCCCGGTGCAGAACAGATACTCAGTAAGCGTCTCCTTCCCCCAAGGCCAGCAAGTTAATCGTACAACTAGTTCCAGAGGCCACAGGCGTCCATCTCCTGGGTCCCACTCTGATCCCACACCCTGCGTGTCAGTGTTTCCCTGCTTCTGTTGCCTCAATTGCAGAAAAGTCGGGCATGATCTGTGCTGGAACCTAAGCACAGGATTAGGAATTTAGACACCTGATTTCTTTTCCCAGCAACAAGTGCACAATTCCCCATAGGTCTCACTTCTCTTTTCTGGAACAGAAGTGACAACCAGCATGAATTGTACAATAAATGTGTGTTACACAATTTAAGTCACAACAGGCCCATGTGTGAAGCACCAGATGCCCGAGAGTCTGGGATCTGCCTCTAACGTGACATATTAATGCCCAAGGAATGTGTTTTAGGATGTAGGCTTTATTATAGCTCAGGTTTGGTGAGGCCAACAGATTGGGAGACAACTTCCATTGCAAAGAGAACTTGTTACTCATGATTTCCAAGATGAGGGTCAGCTTACCTTACACGGGGCCACATGGAGGAGTCCCAGAGTCAGCCAGCAAGCAGACAGAGAGAGGGGAAAATGTGGGCCAAAGCCTTTATTGTGGTTTATCCAAGAACAAGCAAGGCAAGGTAAGCAGGTTTAGAATTGGCTAATTTGAGTAATTTCATCAAGGTCTGGGATATAGGGACTGTGTCCACTTGTGTTGGTACCTGGCTCTGGGGTGATTAGAGCAGGATATAGTGGCCCAGAGCAACAGAAGTGTGTAAGAGCCCATAACGGAGGTGGTTGGGGTGTGGATGAAAGGCCTGCTCACAGGCCAGGAACTGGGAGCAAAGGGCAGGCCCTCCAGGCCCAGGAAGGCGCTAGATGTTAAAGCATTAGCAATATAGTAAATAAAAACACCCAGTGTTCTTAAATCCATGTTTATTCCCTCCACCCCCAGCTGGGAAGATCATGCCCAGCAAGGGGCTTCCATAACAGGCTCTTCTGCAGGGATATACCACACATGTAGGAACAGAAGAGAAGGTCAAGTTGCTCAGAGGGAAAGGCCATGGGCATTAATACACCTCCAAGACCAAAGAAGGCTAGGAATGCTGCAAAGAGGTAGGGGGAGTCTTCTTCCCCCCCCCGCCAGGTGGACATGGTCCGTACTCTTGGACTTTAACATCCTGGAGCACTCGCTCTGAGATTAAACGAAGCCCCTACTTTCTCTGAGTAGAGAAAATTACATTGGGATCCAGAGAGTGCAATGGAATGAAGATTATTCTGCTCGAGTGCACTGACCTTTATCAACTATTTCATCCGAGTTTTTGGAGCATGAACGTGTGTTAGGCCTCCTCCTCACTGTTCACGTGAAGAAGGAGCATTCCTTTCTAGCTCAAAGTTCCAAGTCTCCTTCTCAGGCATCTAGAGACCAGGAAAGCAAAATCAAAGCCAGAGACCTTTGAGTCTAGTTAGGGGATAGCTGGAGGAGGCAACGCAAATAGCAGTCAGGCTAGTGAAATCTCTGGAGAAAACGATTTCTCTTCCTGTCACTGGCTGAAAAAAAAAAACAATTACATTTCTTGGCTTGGATTTAGCACCACATAAGCTGCTGCTTTCACGTTGACCAGATAATCAGGAGAGATTGGTTAGATGTACGTGCATAAGTCCATGTTTCGGAAAAGGGCAAAATGCTTTTAAAACCACATTACCAGGATTTTAAAGACTGGACAACATTTTACTATTTAAGAAAAATATTTATTTGCAAGAAATGGAAATACAAATGCATTACAATTTCAATTTATTTTTTTCAAACTAAATACAAAGCTTTTTTTTTTTAATTTTTTGGTATTTACTTAGTAGGATAGGGAATAAAAGACCATAAAAATAATGCAACAGGACCGATAATAGACTTACAATGTGTTTAGACTTAAACACTGCTGATCTATATAACCTGCTACAAGAGAGAGAGGAAAGCCCGCTGTGAGAACAGACATTAAAGCTCACTGATGATGACAGCCCAGGGGCTGCTCACCATTGTTCAAAAAGGGTCACTCAGTTTGCAGAGAGTGCTGGTGTTTTCCATAGACTCATAAAGCACTTTATCTAAAAGAGAGATTTTCTAAGCAGTGTAGACCACGAGTGCAAAAAGTTCATTTTTCCACGCAGCTGGTGAGCGAGGGATAAGAGCAGAGAAATAGAGCTGAAACCCCTGGGTTCCCTTTTCCCAAATGCAAAGGCTGCTAGCTGGAACTCACAGAGGATGGGATGTGAAAGAGAGGAGACAGACATCTGGAGCACGCTCTGCAGGAGAGGGAGAGCTGAGCAGGTGCAGCAGGGCCACCACACTGGCAGAAACTCTTCCCTGCCACAGCCTGACGTCGTCGACAGTGCCCTCCAAAAGGAATGTGCTCAACCTACTCCATCTCACTCGCTTCTCTCCCACCTCTCGGTGATTAACTAGTTGCCTTTGTTTTCTGTATCTATAAAAGATGCAAACTTATTTAGCACAACATCCAACACCTCAGCCAACAAACACCAAATATTATTTCCCTTCTCTATGGAAACCACACCACAACAAACAAAACATTCCTGAATTTTGTTGCCCCAAATAATGAAACACCTAGGCTTTCTCTCTCTCTCTCTCTCTCTCTCTCTGGTGAGTTTTGACCCTCTGACCACAGAAGCATGAAGCATTAATCCTCAGATGGACCAGGTTCCTCTGCACTCAGAAAATGCTTTGCAGTGAGGATTTATAATACCTTTAATCTTGGCTGTCCATTTATTTTGATGTGATTGCACCTCTATAAAATGGATTTTCCTAATGGATATAACCCTATTTCTTTCTCCTGATGGGTGAACCTAAAAACAGTGGCTTACTTTTAGGAAACCATTTTGAGGTTTTGGAAAAAGTTATTTTCCCCACATTCACTTCAATCTCATAAGTCTACATATAACATCTCCCGGGACAAGGGGTTCCTGTTGTCCTGGGTTCATACATAAGGCACATTTAAGGCACAAGTAAGTATCAAAGATAAGGGAGGCGTGTGTGTGTGTGTGTGTGTGTGTGTGTGTGTGTGTGTGTGTGTCTGTCGCACAAAGGGAAAGAGAGACAGAGGGACACCTAGCACTTGGGTCTTTTGAATAGCTACTGATTAAATAAACCTTCTTCGGTCTCTCTTATGCCCCAACATTGCCTGTGGCCTCAGGCAGCTCTCTTAGCAAACTGAAGTCTGAGGGGTAGCTGAATAAATGGATGGATGAATGATTGATCTGGAATCCGTCTCTGGCTCCTTCTGGATCCCCGTCTCACAGCCCCCTCCTCTCTCCTGTCTTCTCAGGCAGGCTCAGCCTATTACGTGTGCAAATTGTCTCAGCTGAAAACCTTCAATTGGGAGGTCCCTCACTCTGGGACTCCCCTGTGGCAAATGGCTTCCTAAGTCCTTCCAGTCCTGCAAGCAGGAATGCCAAGGTCTCTCATCCAGGTTTCTCAAAGATTAGGTTCAACAGAAGCAAAATAGTGACCTATGGTGGAACAAAGAGGGTGGCCAAGCCTTCTCTCCCTCCTCCAGGTCCCCATTTTGGTCAGGTTGCAGGGATAGACATGCCTCAAATGGGAGGTGGTGCTCACATGCACACCTGTGTTCAGAGGAGCTGGCCCAGAGGGGCCTCTGATTCTGCTCTTCTGCTTTTGCTTGGTGTCTGAACAGGGAAAGGAGGGGACATGAAATGCTGAAAAAGAATTTTAATAAAGCACGTGTGACAAAACTACTGGACACTGACTCAGTGCCTGAGTAGAGAAGCATCAATTCAATACCCCCGCTCCATATAAGGCTCAGACCACCTTTTGGTATCCAACCTGAACCTAGAGATTAATAAGGAAAAAAAAAATCTGAATTTATAGTTATTTGTAAATAAGGTGAACTGGCAGCTGCTTTCCCAGTCTACAAACTAGATCTGCAAATCAAAATTGTTTATGTTACCCAAAGGTTATCTAATCTTGCCTGCATTGATATCGAATCCCACCCCCACCTCTTGCTGACATGGAGCAACTTAGTTCAGCTGTCAAGACTTTTCTAGAACGCTCGTTCTGTGAGTGAGATTCCAGTGTCCTGACACTTCCCAGAAATTCTTTCTTAAAGCTGGCGCTGAGCCTTCTCATTTACAGTGTCCATTTCTAAGTGCAAAGTTGAGAGCTGTAGAAAGAACCACACGGAGTGGGGTGGGGGTCCTGGGTCACTCACTTCTCATCCAGTAAAAAATCACTTGAGTCTTTGCAGGATATTTCTTTCACTTGTGTAATCAATGAAAGAGAAGAGAGAAAACCTGTTTACATGATGGAAAATGTAATGAGATTTATTGTTATGGTTTCTGGTTGCTCTAACAGTCTCAGATTTGTCAAAATTAAAGTTCAGGTGCCAATGCCTGCCACTGTTTGAAATCCTTGGAGCTAACCACAAATTATTGACTGATTTATGGGCCTACTTGCTTGCTATGGAAAACAAATCCACTAATATTCTGAGCTCAACCCTTGAACAGGACTTGTGCAAAAATCCATTAAGTATTTGGAACCAATTTGGTGTGATCCCACTCTTCTGTGTCCTTTCAACCCCATTCTGTCCTCCTGAAGGGACCACCGTTTAGTTCGCCCAAGCCAACCGTGATGGACAGAGACTTTTTCAAACAAGCAGAAAGGCTGGCTCTTGGAAGCCTCTTTAAGAGGCCATTTGAGCTCTCTGGTTGATGTCCCCTGTTCTGGACATTCCTCAAATGGGAGGGTATGTCTCCATTTCTGTCCCACAGCAAAAGCCCTGTTGTTTGGACAGAGCAATGTCCAGCAAGGATAGATAGGGAGAAAATAAAATCCTCAAAGCACTAAGGGCTACAAGTTTCCTTCCTCTTCTTGCGTCTATTCAGAAGAGTGGGGTTTTCTAACCTGGCTACCTATAAACCCCTTCAGGTTCAGATGCAGCACATAGATGCGCTGGCCCATATCTCTCTTCTGCCCTTACATTTGAGTACCTTTCTCAGCACCTATTAGAGTTAATTCTGTGATTTTGCTGTTAGGGCCCCAAAAGGTGCCCCTACATGTGATAAGTACCTGGCATTTAAAGAAAGGGATGGTGTGTGTTGAGGCCTGTGGTTTCCAGACACCAGCCAGGCCCAGAGGCATCAGACTCCTGAGAGGGTGGAGCCAAGGAAAGCAGAAGCAGAAGTCGCTAGCTGCCCCTCCTCCTCACAGCCCAGATGTCTGAACCAGCAGCCAGCACCCTACAGACAGCAGGGCCACCATGCTCTGACACACTATGAGGTAAGCCCAGCTAAATCCCATCACAAACCTCCGCTCACAGCAGGGAGACAGAGGGGTCACTCTCCTTGGTGACCCCAAGTGGACCCAGGCAGAGAAAGCAGAGAGCTGTTTAGGGAATATGATGGCAGATGCCCATGACACCACATCCTACATCTGATATGTAATGGGAGGCCCAGGTGGACATGATCCCTCTTAGGTACGGGCTCCATTGGCCATGTAGATAATGAGAGTGAGAGAGACCGAGAGAGGGAGAGGGAGAGGGAGGGCAGCCAGCGCTAAAGGCCCTCAGCGGCTACTAAAAACTAAAGTACACAATGCAAGCACATTTCCCGCACAAAATCTTTTACAAGCTGGGGGGGGGTGGGGAACAAGAACATCAAAACATTTAAAGGGAGTCTTCTACCTTGTACAACAGAAAGGCAATTTCCATTTCTTATATGTATGAAAGAGAAAAAAAAAATTTTTTAAACTACAAAAGTTACTTTTAATCATTAAAAAATAATAATAAAAGTGGGTTGGGGCTTAGGTTATATCTCTTTGGGTGAGCTGCGAAGTAGCCAAACCTGACCATAAAAGATAAGAAGGTGCACACCAGACGCCATCCGCCCCCACCCTCAGCCGAGATGGTGAAGGGAGGGCAAAGTGGGACTGAGGGAGGGGGAGGCAGGTGTAGAGGGCAGGAGCAGGGTCCTCGGAAACGCCAGCCGTGGGGACAGGGCTTCCCTTCTCAGGTGTGGGAACTGGAGATAGCATTTGGCCACAGGGCCACATTCCTTCTGAGTTCATCCAACAGGGGGACACGCATTATTTCTCCATAGTCATTATTTTACAGACCTCCAATTAAAAAAAAAGGAAGCAAATAAAACATCATATCGAAAATGGGGATCCCTCTTAGGTCCGAAGGCCAACAGAAGATATTGCTAGCTTCAAGGGAGGCCCCGAATCTCTTCAGCATGGTTGCCAGTGGGAAGCCTCGGCAAGCTAATAAATACTATTTACAAACGGGGAGGAGAAGCTGGGAAGGCAGAACTATGTGTGTGGGGGGGGAGAGGCTGGGGGGAGGTTCTACAAGCAACGGGGTGGGCAGGTTTGCCTGGAGGAGAAAAGCCTGATGCCTCAGGCATTGCACTTGCGGCCTGAGAATATGACGGGGGGCCCTAGTCTGCCTGCACCAGAGTGGGGGGCAGTCCAGCAGGGCTCCAAGGGCAGAGTGGAGAGAGGGTACTGTCAGGATGCCCGGGAGCTCCCAGGGCTGATGGGGCTGTCACACTGGAGGCCCAGGTGTGAGCAAGGGAGGACAAAAGTCAGTGCTTTCCAAATCCCAACTGGCCTCATGCTGTTTTTGTGGCTAGAGTCTGGGGTCTCATCTGAAACAGTCATCTCTTTTTGGGTGGGGCAGGGGTCACACCTTACAGGGGCGAATCACAGGCAGTATCTCTTTGGCACTAAAGGTGGAAACAAGCCTGCTTGTCCCACCCCTACCCCACCCCTGAAACAATTTCCTATGGCAGTAGGGGAAACGGAGGAGAGATGCCAGCTCCCTCGGGCTCGGGAGCAACAGGGCAAGAAGACGGAAAACCCAGGCTGGTCTCCCATCCCAACCACTAACGCCCATCCATGTCTCCATCAAGACCCAGCGGCCCAGAGGGAACCTCGTGAAGGTGGAGTGGGGATGGAGAAGCAGAGTTAGGGGAAGCAGGGTGGGTGGGGGTGGAGGCGGCCTCATTAGAAGGTGGTGTTCACTCTTCTGTCGAGTTCTACAACTTTTAGTGTTTCGTTCCCCTCCAGTTTAGTGCTGACCCTGTAAAGGCATCAAGAAAAAAAAAATATTAGCCACTACCTTTAGCTACAAATCCCATGCTTCTCAGTGTCACATGATCCCTGGATGGCTGCAACCCCGGTGTGTGTGTGTGTGGGGGGGCACGACCAGGCTTATTTTTTTCACTCCCTAGTTAATTCTCTCCTCTCAATGTCCCCTGCTACCCACTTGTCCACATTCCTACCTTTATCCCCACCCAAGACCAGGCATCCCAGCCCAGAGGATAAGCATGGTGGCTGCACACTGGTTATTATAAATTGCTTTAGATAACTGTATTTACTAAGGATATTGAGCCCGGTGCTAAATTTTGGGAAGGAGAAATAAAAGGATAATGGCTAATCCCTGGCCTTGAAGACCTAATAATCCAGATAAGGATTTTTTAAAGTGCATTAATTTGAAACAATACTAAAACAGAAAATAAAGACATTATCAAATTGGGTAACAGCCTAGAAGTCTCTAGGCATTCGGATAGGAGCTAAGAAGCCTTCGCTATCCAGGAGATACCCCAAAACAAGGGGAATTTGAATGGGACTTTCAAAGGCTTAGTAAAGAGGAGAGAAGGCTTGATGTCCTCCCTTTTGGAGTTATGAGCCAAATCATCCAGTAGCTCTATCCAACAGAGCTTCAGGGTGGCTCCAGATTTTCTCTACAATGGAAATAAAGATAATGTCTTACCTCTTCGGGTAGTTAAAAGGATTTATATGACAGCACACTTGTAACGTGCTTGACACATTCGGCACTAGTAAATGTTAAATGTACATGTATAATGATACATATAAAATATATGTAAATGTGAACCTTCCCTCAATGGGTGGAGAAAGAAGGCTGAAGAATGTGAAATGCAATCTTTCCTACTGATACTGTAACAGCCTGAGTGCTGGGAAGCCCAGGAGCAGAGCTCAGCTGAATCACCAACTATACTACCCAGGTATGCTGATGGGCACACCCAGGTACTTTCCCCAGGAACAACACCTGTGGTCCTATCAGCCTTTATGTTTTCAAAAGTATGTTTTCCCCATAACTATCTAAGAGAAACAACTCAAGGAGAATTAGAGCCCAATACAAGGTATTTGCAATATGGGAAAATATACACACTCAGGGACTCTAAACACTTATTATTTCCAATGTAAATATGTAATTATAAGTTTATATAAGTTGAACATCCCTAAACCAAAAATCCAAATTCTGAAATGTTCCATGATCTAAAACTTTCAGGGCCAACAGGATGCCACAAATGGAAAATCCCTCACCTGACCTCATGTGAAAGGTTGTAGTCAACACTAGAGTGCAGGCAGCACTACAAATATTGTATAAAATTACCCTTGGGTTATGTGTCTATGATATATGTGAAACAGATGAATTTCACCTTTAGACTTGGGTTCCAGCAGCAAGATATCTCATTAAGCATATGCAAATATATTCCAAAATAAAAAATGATTCTCAATTCAAAGCATGTCTAGCCCCAAGCATTGCAGGTAAATCATACTGAATCCACAGTTAGAGTTAATACATCTGAATTGACACAGAAACTATCAATGTATATTGATATACAACAAAACATTTATTTTCCCTCTGGTTGGAAGGAAGCTAGAGAACAGTCGGAGGGATTGCATAGCCAACACTGCTGTTATGCGGCTTTGAGCGGGATTCAGACCTTCTCTCACTCTGGTGCCACCGCTACCTGCTCCCAACTGATGCTGGGGACATCAGGGAATTCCACTAGGCCTTTTCCCCACTCTGGGAAACCATGGCTGAGAGGCAGACACTCCCTACTGCCAGTGGTCGTGGAAACAGGTCCAGGAGAGCCAAGGAACCACCCCAGGTCTCTAGGAGAGTCCTTAGCCCCCTGACAGGTGGCTCCCCCGATCCCATCCTCCGCACACCATGGGGCTAGAGCCGTCCTAGGACTCACAGGTGCTGCTGCAGCTCCAACAGCACAGACTTCTCCAGGCCGCTCTCATTGGAGATAATGAAATGGGGAAGATCCACATCTGGCAGGGACTCCAGCCCTGAGGCCCTGAGCAGGGAGGATCTTTCCCAGCCCCCAAGCTCCCCAGGCGAGGCTGGACTGGAGGACTCCTCCAGGGGAGATTGTTCCTCATAGATCAGCAGGTTCCTGGATCTCACTAAGGACAGAGAAAAACAAGTAGGTGTTTAAAAAAAAAAAAAAAAAAAACTGGAGTCCTACATATTTCCTCCCTCCCAATGCCCAGGGCCAGTGGCAGATGAAAATTGATGTGCTGTTCTGGTCCAAGACTTAGGATGCCAACTGGATTCGGCTTTCTATAAAGGCTTCAGGGCTTCAGAGTTTGTGCACTGAAAAATTATACCAATTATACAGTGCTGGAAGAACAATAGAAAATAAACACAAAGCCACTACCACCCCCAGTGCTTTGAAAATAAAACTCCCCTCCTTACCCACCCATGACTATCGAGGGAAAACATTCACGCAAGTAGGAGTCAAATACTTGGAGATGTCCAGACTCAGCTAAAACAAGCAGCGTCCCCATTGAGCAGGTCTTGTAGGGAGGGAAGATAGAAAGGCATTTTCATCAAGAATATGGGGAGAGGATACGAAGCCAAAGCCATAAACCAGAGGCTGCAGACAATATCCTTTGTTTTATGGGACAGCCACATAGCTAGATGGCTCTGCAGCAATTTTCCTCAACATAGAAGCTATGCTCCCATTGGCTCCCAAAATTTAAAGAAATATTCCTTTGGGGAAAACAAACTTCCCAACAGGTCACTGAACTCATTTGGAAAGGCCCGTGCTTCTGTCCTATACCTGGCAGAGATACACCTATCTGGTAATTACCACAAATATTTTTTTAAAATTTTATTTATTTTAATTTGTTATATATGACAGCAGATTGCAATTCAATTCACATTACACAAATAGAGCACAATTTATCATGTCTCTGGTTGTACAAAAAGTAGAGTCATACAATTCTTGTTTTCATATGTACTTAGGGTAATGAGGTCTGTCTCATTCCACTGTCTTTCCTACCCTCATGCTCCCTCCCATTCCCTCCCACCCCTTTGCCCTATCTAAAGTTCATCTAGTGCCCCCATGCTGCCCCACCATCTCCATAATGAATCACATCCTTATATCAGAGAAAACATTCAGCATTTGGTTCTTTGGGATTGGCTTACTTCACTTAGCATGATATTCTCCAATTCCATCCATTTATCTGCAAATGCCATGATTTTATTCTCTTTTATTGCTGAGTAATATTCCATTGTGTATACATACCACATTTTCTTTATCCATTCATCTACTGAAGGCTATCTAGTTGGTTCCATAGTTTAGCTATTATGAATTGAGCTGCTATAAATATATACCATGGGCACACCCAGGTACTTCCTGAAGTATGCTGTTTTTAAGTCCTTGGGTATAAACCAAGGAGTGGGATAGCTGGGTCAAATGGTGGTTCCATTCCCAGTTTTTCAAGGAATCTCCATAGTGCTTTCCATATTGGCTGAACCAATTTGCAGTCCCAGCAGCAATGTATGAGTGTGCCTTTTCCCCCCAAATTGTCCCTATACCAAATTCAGTACCTTCTAACAGCACGATTGTTTTTACTAGCACAGGTATGCATTCATATATGTGTTTCTTACTCATTACCCCTTTATCTCCTGCATATTTAGAAGAGTTCATGGGTTTATATCCTCTTATCTAACACCTGAGCTCCACAATCTGTAAATCTTCGGCATAATACTTGGAAAAGCAGACTGATTCTTCAACTTTGCTTCACAAACTCTGACTATGGTGACATGTAATTCCACTCAGAGGAGGCAGAATCACAGGAGTTCTCTTAAAATGTCAGAGAAAGCTTACTTTGCCCCCTCTCAAAGTCCACATCCTACTCTCTCATCAGAACTCAAAAAAGAACACATCAAGGAACACAGTCTGGAGCAGCATTTTGCAAGCTGAACTTTCCCAAGCTCTAGAGAATTTCCACAGCTGCCTGCGGCCAGTGGGTGAGGGGCACAAGGGGAACCAGCACCCTGAACCCCAGAGCCCCTTGTGTGCAAATGGAGAAGCTCCACTTTTAGTACCTCTTTCTAAAAATTGGAGTTTACATAAGATTCCTTTCAGAAAGCTGAGAAATCCAGTTCCACAGAAGCAAAACAAGATACTTCCCAAGTGGCTGAGTGCTCTCTTACCAACGGAGGCTGTGTACGGCTCTGGCATGGAATGCTGGCTGGGCAGCGCCATCTTGGTGGCAGAAGGATAGGGCCCATAGCCCTGAAAGAAGCTGCCAAACGCAACAGCAAAGCACAACACGACGACCTGGAAGGGGAAGAGAGAACACAGGAGCTGTCGATGTCAGACTCCACAGAGCAAACCTGTAGATCTGCAATGCCTGGGACAGTGGGAAGACGGACTATCCTCTCCATCAAGGGGCAGTCTGCCAAACTACATCCTCAGGTCACATTGCAGTAATGACATACAGAGGAACATGCTTGGAGCAGGCTTCAAGGTCTCTCCAGCTGCACAGCACTTGGACTTGACAAGGTGGGAGACACTGGGGACAGGGCACGGGGCCAGGGGTCGTTCCTACACTGTCCCTTTGGGAAACTCACCATAAGGCAGGTGCCAGTCTGCGTGCCAGCTAACTTGCAGGTCCGAGAAACCTTGCCCATCACCAGAGTCTGAAGCTTCTGGAGCTGCTGAAGAAGAGTTCTGCCAAGGGCAACAAACAAGAGCCAGGAAGGGACGTGAAAGGTGAGAGATGAATTTTGGTGGCCCCTCCACCCCGGTTCCAGGGAAGTTGCTGCATCCTTGGGTCTCAATTTAACCAGAGTTCTGAGGGACAGATTCTTCTGGGAGAAGATATGGATGCCAGTACCTGCTAGTACCACTGCCCCAGAACTTGCTGGAGCTCAGAACCAACCTCAACACCTTAACCACTTGTTCTGTTCTGAACAAGAGAAAGCCCTCGAATGATCCCTGCTAAGATGTGACTTGCTTGCCAGATGCTGAGAACAAAGGAAAGCGAACACTGCTGTTGGATGGTCACTATGGTTTCAATGTTTGTCACCCACCCCCCACCGCCCACTGCAAAAAATTATATGGCAAATATGACGGCGGTGGTGAAGAGTGGGGCCTCTGAGTAGGGCATGAGGGTGGAGCCCTCGAGTAGGATTACTGCCTCTATGAGGGATGGACAGACTGGCATTCTTCCCTTGGCACCACGTGTGGACACAACTAGAAGACAGCTTTTAGAACCAGGAAGCCCATCCTCACCAGAAAACAAGTCTGCCAGGCACCCTGACCTGGGTTTCCAGCCTCCAGGGCTGTGAGCAATAAATATCTGTGTTTATAAGCCGCTCAGCTTAGAGTGTGTTCACAGCAGCCTTAATGGCCTAGTGTGGCGGTGATTACGAGGGGAACCCTCTTCACTGAGAGATAAGAAACACTGATGAAAACATAAGAAAGGAGAACAGCCAAGAGAGAGGACAAGGACCAGCAGAGAAAACCAGAAGGGCTGGCCTGAGGTGGCACCTGTGACTTAAAATGGTCACAGTGTCACCAAACAGCGGGCATCCGGATGGCAAACTGAAGGGGAAAGAGAAGGATGAAAAACAGGAAGGTCAAGGAGGCAAAGGGCCATTGCACCTCAGAGCTGAAGTGGTTCTCAAAGGCTCACAGCAGCTCCACACTAGAAACAAAGCCAAAATACCAAAGAGCAGAGCGGCCTGCTCAGCCAGACCCTCAGGCTCAGAGCCAGGGGTCTGAGAAATCAGCCTCCAATACACACGCCTCTTCCTCCTGGGAAAGGCAGAACAGGGGCAGAGAAATAAAAAGTGGACAACTGCACATTCCCTCAAAGAGGTCTGGGGATGAGAGAGCAGTCTGTGCTCCAGGTTGTGTGACATCGGGACCCAGAAAGAGCAGGGACCCAGAAAGAGCAGGTGGCGAAACTCTCTGCAAATCCTGAACACGACAAGGCACAGACAGGGAGCTGAGTGCACACCCTTCTGAACCAGACGATCTGTGTGAATTCTGCATGAGAGTAAGGAAAGAGCTGAAGCCCCTCCTCGCCCTTGTCTCTTTCCCCAACTCCATGCACACAGCAAAGTGGAAACCTTTTTATACGCAGATGTGTTTTCTTGAGTCTTGAAGAGTTTCAGAAAATTCATGCAGTGATGTGATGTTGGAGCCACACAGTTTCACTGGAAAACATCAGCAAACCACTGGTTTGCAGAATTCTGGGCTTTCCTAGCCACCTTGCTTCTCAGTCTATCATCTGAAGAGCTTTCAGGTGCTGGACATACAAGCAAGGTTTTCCATGGCTTACAACTTCTCCCAAATTAAGCAAATCCAGGGCAGGCTGGCCATAAGAAAGGTTTTGCTTCAGCAATTTAAATGGATAATGGAAGCAAGAATTTGAGGAGCATATGTATCTGAAGTTTTCTGAACTCAAAAAGCCCTGTGTGGCTTCGTGCAGTGGCACACGCCTGTAAATCCCAGCAGCTCGGGAGGCTGAGACAGGAGAATTACGAGTTCAAAGCCAGTTTCAGTGCTAAGAAACTCAGTGAGACCCTGTCTCTAAATAAAATACAAAACAGGGCTGGGGATGTGGTTCAGTGGTTCAGTGTCACTGAGTTCAATCCCCAATATCCTTCCTACCCCAAAAGCCTGTGTGATCCTACATGCACATTACAAAGCAGAAGTAATGTGTAATTTTAATAAGTCAAGGAAAATCATTCATCCCATTAAGTGATAGCATTAATTTAATTAATTTATTAATTAATTAATTTTATTAATTTATCATTAAATTAATTTAATCTATTTAATGTGGAAGTCTTTTTTTTTAAACTAAATCATGCATTTGTACTTTTTTTGTTTCTGGTTATGTAAAAGTACCATCAGTTTAGACGTGATTTATGTTTATATATATTCTTTAAAAGCATTCTGCATGTTGAGAAATACTGACACATGATTATTTTAAATTGCACTTAAAGGGTTGGGTATCTAGCAAGGTGGCAGAATGGTTCCCTACCGTGTGCAAGGCTCTGGGCTTGATTCCCAACAGTGCAAAAAATAAATTAAAATGAAGCAAATTCCACTTGGAGAAAAAGTTTATAACTAAGTGATCCTTTGCCACGGCATCTTTTTTCCCTCATCAAACCTCTTCTCTCTTCTCGCAGGCCTTCCCCAGAATACCTCCCTTGTGGCCATCAGCACAGCTGCCTTTTCAAAACCACAAGCTGAGTAATCCACTGCCCAGCCGCTTCCTGAGCGAGCATCCATTCTCACAGAGCTGAGATTCTGCTGGTCACAGCACATGTTGGATTAGCTACCACCTATAAAGCCAGCCCCGAAGTCCCTGTTAGGTTCTCCTGGCTGGTGTTTCTGGAAGTTTGCAGGCAGATGTACTAGTGAGCCCTGGGACAAGACCACATAGCACAAACCCCTTCCTCTTGGATGCTGGCTACCTTCTATGATACCAATTTATAAGGTCTTCGCTGCCTGCTGAACTACAGCAGAGACCCCTGCCTCCTTGGTCTTCTTGAGTGATGCCTGACACTTTTGCTGGGCACCTCAGCTGTGCCCTGGGCACTCCTGGTGCCTGTGTGCTGGTTGGCACAGAGGTGCTGAGGCTTAGTGGAGCGCTCTGCGGGAGTGGGTGAGCTCTCTCCTTCCAGACTTCTGTGACATAGATCCTTCCAGACGGAAACAGAGCCCCAATACTTCTGCTCCAGAATCTTACGGTTTTTGAAAGTGAAACCATCATTTCTATTTTTTACCAATGTCCCTGTTGACTGGCAAACACTCCTCGCTTCCCCTCTGCCCATCCCTTGCTCCTTGTCAGGTCTTAAGAGTGTGAATAGCTAAGAAAACAAATCTCACACAGTGCTCTGAATCTGTCCTCCCCTCCGATTTCTGGTTGGGAAGAGTCTCGTAGGAGGCACCCGGTCCTTCCTAAAACAGACATCCAGCAGGCAGATCCACCTAAAGCCCACAGAGAGAAAGCCAAGGTTCAAGGTGGCCCCACCCAGTTACAGGTGCAAAATGCTACAAGTTTGGAAGAAGGACCACTGAAGTCTGGCTGGAGGAAGTGGGAAGCTCTATGCTTACCAACTGTAGGGCCCTTCACTTGACATTCATACTGCATCCGTTCCAAACTCAAAGATGATTATCTGCTGAATCCACTGCAGATGAAAATGGTTGTTCAACGATCCCTGATTTCTAACAGTTTATAATCCAGCTCTTTAAGATGAGCAAACATGCCGTTTAAAATGCATATTTTTATAGTCTGGAATTTTGGTGGAAGGCTATAGGGATGGGTTCTATGCTGTGTGCTGCTGTCCCCTGCTCAGGGTGAAGGTGGGTAAAAATAAACTTAGTGGCTATCCTCATATTGGTCTGATGGTAGAAATGACAACCGGGCAAAGGAACCAACAATTGGCAGATTTTAATCAGAGCAAAGTGGATTAACTCGTCCAACTCAGACAGCTACATAGGTTCCTAGGACCCAATAAACTTTGGGAAATTCGTATACACTCATACCAAACAACAAAAACCAGCTTGATTTTCATCCTAAGAAAATAACAGTGACTGGGTTCTGGGAATTGCTTATAGGAATTGCTTATGCTAAAGTACTAAGTAGTTGTCTTAAATTCATATAACTAGTAAGTAGAAGACTAAGATGTTGAAAACAGTCTGACCCCACTGCTTGAGTACTTTCTAATATGGCAGAGCACAGTGCCTAATCAGTCACCTAATAAAATCAACTATGATATACTGCTTAGTTAAGTAGATTTTTCTTAAATTCAATCACAGTAACATCATATTGACAACAGCCCAATGAAGAGATTTGTCCACCATTGGACATGAAAATGTGATTAAAAAGGACCAAGCCACACAGGAAGGGACAGCCACATTAAAACCCAGGCCAACGGCAATGAAGTGCACACTAGCAAAACTTCAGTGATAACAGCACAAATAAGAAACCACAAAGGCAAATAAACATTCTGTGGTACACTGTTAGATGTAACCAAAGATGAAATGCAGGTGAAAAAAAAAATCTAAGGTATTCCTCACCCTGCTTTAGGTCCCAGGAAGTCCCAGGAAGTCAAGACTTTATTTAGACAAATGGAAAAGATAGGACCTGTCCCTTTATCAGAAACCCAACAAGTAGAGATGGCATGGCTTTAGGATTGCTCAATGGTACACATAGAGCAGAAAGGAGGGAGACCTGAGCATACACCTCGGAACTACAGATAGAGTTTCAGTAGGTGCCTCTCATCCAGTTACACAGTCCTGAGACGATGCAGCTAATCAAAGATCATTTCCTTGACCACATCAGCTAATAGGACAATGGGAGAATCACCCCTCCTGGGGCACTCTGGGTTTGCTGAACTCCTTTGAAAAGCACTTGCTGTCTCTGTTCACAGAGGACAGATGAAGCATGTCCTTTTTACTGCCAAGCCTGTGTGACCTTATAACTGATATGCTGATCTGCACTGATGTGGTACTTTCTCTGGTGCCACCAGGACAGATGTCACTAGGCAGTTGTTGCACTGAGGACTTGGATGACAGCTGCTACCCCGATTACTGAAGGGCTGGGTGGAGAAAAGGCAGCCTTCAGATGAAATGGAAAAATTATTTTAACACTAAAGCTATAAAAAAGTCACCCATAGGACAGACCCAATGGTGCCTTCAAAGCTCAATAT